CATCCTGTGATGGTGCTTTTATAGCCATGTGTGTGCAGTCTATAGCTCTGATTACATCAGAAAAACCGTCTGTCACTGTAAACTACGCTTTATTGTTGGTCTGTTCAAATGCATTGTGGGTAATGTGACATTCCTGGTTGACATATGGATCCACTGTTGACCCAGCTCCGTTAAAAAAAAACACTTTAAACTGTCCCAGAACTTTAGAATATTTGATCTATTTCAGTAAGGATGAATTTACATTTATAGAAATAATAAAACTATAAATTAATTCAATTAAGTTCATTCATAAAGCTCCAAGTAGCAACAGAATCGTCTCAGGGACTGAACAGAAACATTCATGTATAAAATAATAATTGAACAGAAACATTCATGTATAAAATAATAATTGAACATTATTTATCTGAGGAGCAGCTTTGAGTTTAACTCCATCACAGAACTCTCATCTTGAACAAGCATGAAGGCGACAGTGGAAAGAAAAACTCCCTCATGAGGAAGAAACCTTTAGCAGAACCAGGATCAGGACAAGAGGACCATCTGCTTCAACCAGCTGGGTTTGAGAGGAACAGATACACAATGGCACAAATTAAGAGCTCACTTTTCTTGCATTGATGAGATGCTGAAAGACTCCATTTGATGAAAACATGTCAGAACCAGGACTCACCTGGAACCCTGACCCCAGGTCCTGTTTAGGATTCACAGTCAATATTTCACTTGTAATGAGCCCAGGAATTAGCCAGTAACTGCTTGTATTTTCTCATTCCAGAACTCAGAAGAGATTCTAAAAGAAAACAGAAAAGTTGTTTAAAACCGGCTAAAATTGATTTAATGAAGTTTTTAGTCAAAATTCATTTACAATCTGAGCATGGTTCTGAACTGGTCCAGTAGATTCAGTTGATGGTTCCTGGTAGAAGCAGCTCTGCAAACAAATATACCAAAAATCTGTTTGCACGTGAGAAACTCTGAGGATTGCAGATAACGTGCTGCTGGTGCCTTGCTCAGCAGCACTCCAATAAAGCACCAAAGAAGAATGAAAATGACGACAACAATTCAGAGCAGTTTGATATTTTATTAACAGATTTCAAACAAGAGGAAAACATGTACACTTCAGAATCTCTGATCTGCAAACAGACGGTGAAGAGTCCAAAAGCTCCAAGTCACACAGAAGAGGCAAAATCCTCCTTCATCCTCATCAGCCTAACAGTCAGTGTCCTACCTGTCCACATGTCCAGAGGCTTTGGGGTCCCAAACAAAGAAACAGGTGGTGAAGGGGTGAGACATCTGTCCGAATTAAACATCTCTGGAGGGGTGAGACATCTGTCCGAATTAAACATCTCTGGAGGGGTGAGACA